CAAATGAAGCATTCTGTTTCTTCAGAAGGAAGATGGCTTTTTGGTTCTCTGTTTTCAAAAAGTTGTTTTGCTGATTTAAGCCTTGACAAATGCTAAGCACACAGATTCATTTTTTCTGCACAGGCAACCTTTACACACTCACAAAAGGGCAAAATGACTTTGGGAATCGGTCAAGCTGAGAACCAGTCAGAAGCCTAAACACAGCTTGGCCTCCTGTCAGACTTGAGTGTGAACTGTTGTTTCCTCAGGAAGTTAACCTGGCCAGGGTGGGAGCTGAGGTGTCAACACAAATCTGTAGGTCCTGGCATATGGGTGCATTTGTGGCTTCTTTTAAAACCTGCTACCTTAACATGTCCTTATTTTACAAATGGGGTCTATGACTTTTCATAGTGTGGGCACTAATTTGAGCTGGATTCACCCTTTCTTGTACCCTAACTCTAACCTGTGATGCCTCTCCTTGAGGGGACTGGTGGTGAGGGATGGGGCTGGCATGCAGGGAGTGGAATTGCAGCTTGTTTTCTACCCAGTAGCTTTGTACCTCTGAAGTCTGGGAACTCAGTGATGCTGCCCAGAAGGGACTAGAGATACCACTGTGCTCCCAGAATGACCCCCCCACCCTCACCCCATTCCCATCAGCAGCAAGCGCCCCCTGGCCCTCAGAGACCAAAATTACACCTTAATGGAATTTTAATGGAAATAATAATGTAACATCTGAAAACATGATAGGAAGAGCAATCACTCAGAATTTAATGTGAGACCATCTCCAGAGAGGAACACAGTTTCACTTTATTAAATCATCTATGAACCATTTAAATGGGATGGAATGAACTAATCACACTGGCACCAACGCTGTACCTGAAGAGGTCGGCCAGAAAAGCACAGAGGCCACAGTAGTTTACAAGGAATTTGGCAATACAGTTAGGTGTGGTTTAATAATTACAGACCCTTTTCTTCAAATAAATACACCCAAGTCACATAGGAAAAAAAATGATGATACATCAGCCTTATAAATAAGAAACCAAAGCACCGTCCCGAACAACAGGTTTAGAATAAGCAAAGCTAAAACACTTCGGATTGCGTTCCTATCTTGAGTCTCAACTAAAGAAAGAAGCAGTATAGGTTTCCCACCATACATATTTCCCTGTACGGAGTCCAGGAATAGTTGAACAGCTGCAAAATTCTGATTCTTGTGGCATAGCAACTGAGGTATTGTGCAAAATGTTCATGAGAACTGAATGCCTATTAAATTAGACTAATCCGCATTTCAAACCTACATACCCTGAACATAATTTTCTGTGTATTTAAAAATCAAGATATTTCCCCGGCAACTTTTCCCCCTTCTCTTGAATTTTCATTATAACTAGCCACTTTCTTGGGAAAATTCAATATGTTGAAGTATTCAAGAGAAGCAAATCCAATTTGAATCTTATGTTTAAACATGAAAAGCATCTGCTAGTACCTAACAAATATCTCCCATCATCTCTGTAAAGGGAACGTTAACCTAGATAAATGTTAAATGGCTCCTCTGTCCACCCTCCTCCACCCGCCGCATCCCTCCAGGCCAGGCGGGACGGAGGCCTCTGCGTGCTCACATGTGTGCTGGCCTACAATTTAAATGCAAATAACCCTGCGCCTCATTATCTGAGAAGTTTGTGCAGACACAGTACAGTTGTGAAATTAGAGGAGGCTCATCTGTATTCCAGCACACGCGTCACTTAGAGTAAATTCCAAAGAGCAATTCATCACCGCTTTCAATTTAAACACTGAGTGAGTGGCAGAGTGCCGAAGGTTCAGGAAGAGCGCCTCCCCTTTTTGCTGCCAATGTAACTGGACCAAACTTTTCTTACTGTGGTTCCATTAGTTCCCAATGACACTCGGTAATTGCAATAAGAGACTTTGTTTAACACCAACACAGCTGGCTGAATGGAAAAGATACATTTATGCACAATTGAATGACAATCTATACATATTCCAGATACCACTGACAAGAAGATGATTGCATCAGTCTAAAATGCAAGAAGGTTATTAACAATGATGCACCAAACCCACATCACTCCAGAAGATATTTTTTATTTTTTATTTTTTGCAAAATCAGCTTTCAAATATAAGGTTACTTTAAAAGAATTCTTTGGTTAAAGTATAATTAAAATAAAAAGTAGAAACTCCTCCCAGCCTTTCACTAAAGGGTGAAAAAGACCATCCCCCCTTTTCGGCCATCAGATGGCCATTTGATCAGCCATTCAGATTCTCTGAATCTAAATGTAATGGAAAACACTGTATTCTGAACTCCATACTGGGGTGAAGCACTAAGCTCCTAGTTACCAGTGCAGTGATGGAGAAGAGAGCCTGGGAAAATGAAACCCCCAGCTTGTGCATTAAAATGTGCCAATTATTCTCATCCCCAGAGGAATAGATGTAGCGTTTTAAAATCACCCAAAGGAAAGTCCTATCTATGAATACTGGCGCATTAATGGATTGATATGGCACCCTTGTGCAAACAGCAAGCTGTTTCAGACCTTCAATTTTAGATGAAATCCTTTAGCTAAGTTTATCTCACTTAGTTTATTGCAGGTAACCTCCCGTGTTAAAAAAAGAAAACCGAAAACCTCAAAAATGAAAAACTCCAGTCTATCAGAAACCATTTAGTTCTTCTTATCTGGCATTTTCTTCTTCTTTCCTTCTCCAGCACATTTGTTCTTAATAAGCATCCATCACAGATCAAAAAGAACAAGCCTCAACTTCAAGTTGTAATATAACCTGGAATTTATGGGTGGATGTGAAATCATGTAGTACAGTTGTGTATTGCTTTTATTACGCATCGATTCAACATGATTTCCAAAGACTTTCTCAATTGGCATCCTACTTTAGTTTTTCAATTAGGTGTGGAAAAGAGAATTTAATGTGAATTCAGGTGATTTAGGTAACTTTGATAAACAATCTGGACAATTAAAACAGGATGGATTATTTTACTTTTTTTTTTAACCTACATTACTCAGAATTTCCTCTCTCTGCCTGTATTTGCTCACATAGACCATCATCTAAGGTTCGGTCCATATCAGGCTAAGGACAGTGGATTGTAGCTCAGCTGAAATGACTGCTCAGGTTGTCACAGGACTAAGACAACTCAGAGGGAGAGCATAACTTCTCTGAACTTTTGATCTGTACAAGCACAGACTTGAGAGAATACAGGGCCGCAGTTTCCAAGGACATCTGATGTGAATAGGGTAAGCATTGCTCTAAGCACTGGAAGTCCTTGAAAACTTGTGCAGATTCTAATAGCTATTACAGATTTGATTAAATAGTGGAGTCACTTCATTGCAGATAAGATAATTTACTTTTTTCTTGAAACCTTTTATTGGAAGTTGCTTCCTCCATTTTAAGGTTAAAACTTTTATGTTAATCAATGATGTCAAGACAGGGTTATTTTTATATCCAGAAGCTGGGTCACTGCAGTGCTAGAAAAATAAATCAAGGTTTGTTTCCTAAAATGTAAAATTTATGACATGTTTCTCTAAGTGACTTAAAAACTCCAACTATTATCCTCTTGCTGATTTACATACACAGTCAGCAACCTTTGACTTCCTCTTTTCAGGGATCATGAAATTCTAGTTGCAAATAAGAGCACAGATCTATTTTTAGGTACTGTATATTTTATGCATCTGGGCTTTGAAGCTTTCTCGATGCTACAATGGATATTGATTTGCTGAACACTAACATTCTGTTAGATGGGTGGGATTTCAATGTGCACACAGATTCTACACGGTGAACTACATACCCTGCCTGATCACAGCACAATCCGCAGTCAGCACTTCCCACAATTAAACAGACATCGATAACTGATGTTTTGGCTTGATTGTCATTTATTTTTCTTTTAAATTAACTCCCTCTAACTTCGGAAGCACGTTTGAGGAGAAACCATAGGCTGTGGCTCTCTCCAATTTTCCTTAAAGTTTAAATTATTATAGAAAAACAAACAAGAACGACAGCACAAGCAGCCGTGCAGTCGTGACTGTCATTTAAATTAGTTCCCTGACTTCGTCATATGTCCCTGGTATCGGCTATGTGTCTGCGGACGTTCTGTTCCAGTTGACCTGTCTCCGGGGTATGCCCCGGCCTGACCCTCGGTGCGGTTTGTAAAGGTGCCTGTGTTGCAGAGAATGAGCTTCTGGCGGCTGCATGTACATCCTTGCAAAGTGTCAGCCTCCGAAACGCGTGCCAACCTAGAGGGGGCCAATCCCAGCAGATCCTAGTGACTTCCAGGTGCTAAGTCTCTTTAGGTTTGGCAAGTTCTTTGCTCCTAGAATTGAATGCTTCACACAGTTCTCCTCCTCCCGAGTATCCGAAAGTGCTTTGTCTTCCCATTTCACAGATTGCAGCAGAGGGGAAGGGCTATAGCCAGTTGCTCTAGAAAAGAGGCAGTACCGGGTAAATCTCAGGGTCCAGGAGTCAGTGTTGGAGACAGGAGCATGGTGCGGGGGTCGTTAGGAGGGCAGGATGTGATGTCATCACCTAAGAATGACTCTGTGGGGCAGTTTTTGTTTTTGTTTTTTTTTTGAGCTTTGAAAGAATTTCTCAGCTTGGCTTTGCTTAACTGGAATGTGGCATTAAAAAGAAACTTCTATCACCAACTGGCAGCTCAGGCCCCCTGCTGAATTCTGGGTGCACTCTGGGAAGGCAGCCCCCTTGGGAGGCACAGGCTCTAAGCCTGGGACAAGACAGAGGGAAGCAGGCGTCTGCTGTGGCGAGGGCCCTGATTTAGGAAGACGATTCTGGAAAGCCTCATTAGCTGGGCAAGAGTCCAGAGAGAATGAATTTTATCCCTGAATCAAGTCTTTCCCTCATTCACTCCGTCTCATCATAAGAACTTGAAAGCAGATAAGAAATATGCTAAATGATTCTGAGCATTCTGCTTAGAAGGTGGCACAGATATTCCCGCTGTCACGAAACACACAGATAGACACTCCTCCCCAAGGCTTCCCGGAGCCCTTTCTGGTCATCCACACTGTGCTCTATTCTTGGAGCAAGGTTTCTCTCCAGTTGAAGCCCCCGGTGGGTCCATGGGTAAGAGGAAGGATGGGTGGGTCTGTTAGCTGCCATATTCCAGTTTCTCCTAGTTCTTCACAGGAACAAAATCCCAGGTATGGGATCTGCCGTAGTAAAGGAAGCAAACACAGAAAACAGAGGCTTAGTGCTTTGACTTTTACCCAGATACAGATATATTCAGGTGACCCTAGAGGATAAGAATATTCTTAGGAGTGTCCAGGAACTTTGCAGATAGGCAGCTTCCCCCCAGGATCAATTAAAAAAATGGATAGAGCTGACAAATTTAGAGGGAAGGATATTAAGCTGCAAGAGACTACATCAGCAGGATTTACTAAGTGGCCAACTCCTCTAATGCAATTAAATAATTATTTATAGATTCCTAGTCGTGTGGGGAAAAAAGAGGACAATGATATATAAAGTCAAGGTGCTGGGAAGTAAATTCCCACTTTTAAGTCAAGTTAAAAGTGCAGCTCAGTGTTTCTGAAAGTATCCACATACAATGGGAAAGATTAATTTTTAAAAGAGTTTCACTCTGATTTTCTCTTTATTTTTGCTCAAGCTGTGGCCTTCCTCAACTTCGGTTGTCATGCATGACATTTTGTGTGTGTGTGCGCATACGTGTGTCCAGGGCTGCATTTATAAATAAGACAAAACATCTGTGCCTTCAAACAGCTGACAGCCTAATAGGAAGGACAGATGCATAAAACAAACAACAACAACAAAAAGCTCTAGAGTTGGAAGCAGGCTCCCTGGGGGTCGATGGGGAAGCCTGGAACAGCCTGAAGGGAAGTGTGTGGGAAGGGCTGACTGCAAAATTTACAGGCCCTAGAAGGAGAATCCAGATGTGATCAACCTCATGGGTTTTCTGTCTCACGTCCTTGCTCTGGGGCTAGTCTTTCAGCCTGGTATTTTAAATCACTGCTTCCTGTGGCTCACCAGCCTTCAGGCCTCTCTTCTAGCTGTGCTCTCAGATGCTGTGATTTGATCCACTCACCTTTTCATCTGAGCCTCACTCCCTTGGGGACATTCGGTTTGCTTATTTTCTTAGCCACCTCCTAAATTTAACTCTGAGAAGCCAGAGCTGGCTCAAATACTCCTTTCCTAATGCTGCGCCTTACACAGGGTACCGTCTCGGTCAATGCATCTTGGTTGAGTGAATCCGAAGCTCCCCAGCTCAAGGTGAACACACGTGGTCACGCACACAGCCCCAGCCAGTCACTGGCTGCTCCCCAGCCCTGCGGCAGCACAGACCCCCAGTACAAGGGCGAGTTACCTTTCGGACCATCTGTACAAAATCCTTGGAGTTCTGAGGCGAGAGGCCCTGAAGTTGGCAGGTGCAGGCTTCAAGGGAAGATGCGTGGGCCACAAACAGGATGTTATTTCCTTGAGGGGAAAGCAATGGGGAGACAGTTTCTCTAAAGACATGTAAACACTGTGTATGCTAAGAAGCCCAGTGTTCCTGGAAGAAGCAAGCATTCTTAAGGAGATAATTTTGATGTGCTTTGTACTGAAAGGCTGCCTAATGCCATTTAAATGTTATATATAGCTATATAGATATATCTATATATAGATATATATATATATCATTTGTTCATTCTTGTACAATGTTTGATTTTTGCTCTCAGGTATAGTCCCCGTAAAGTTCCTACCACCAAGTCACTTGTGAACCATCACCATAGTCTCCTGTGCTCTTCCTGCCCCTGTTCTAATGGCTGAATGTCTCTGCTTATAGCTGACTCTTAGTTTTGTCCTCCCTCCCCCCCGATCCCTTGTATGGTTTTCTTATGTTACATCTATACGTGAAATCATTCAATATTTTTTCTTGTTCCTTCTGACTTCTTTTTTTTTCTTTTTAAAGATTTATTTATTTATTCATATGGAACTGGGGTACAGGCCAGAGATGCGGAGGGTGAGAGGATTCACCAGAGACAGAGCGGGGAGCAGAACAGGCAGATGGATGAAGTACACTGCTGAGGGGAGCAGCGGGCAGGTCAGGAGAGGTCTGCCTCGCCATGTGGTCACTTCCGGGGCAGGCGGGGATCGAACTCATGCGGAAGTAGCTTTAGCTTCTTAGTGCTGTGCTTTAACCCACTGCACCACCAGGGAGGGCCCCCTTCTGACTTATTTCACCGAGTATAATCCCTTCTAGTTCCATCCATGTTGCTGCAAATGGCATGAATTTTATCTTTCTTGATTGCTGATTAATATTCCATTGTGTGTATCCACATCTTGATCCAGTCATCTACTTTTGGGGCATATGAGTTGTTTCCATATCTTAGCTATTTTAAATTGTGCTGCAGTAAACACAGGGGTGCAGATGTCCTTTTGAATTAATGTTTTTGTGTCCTTTGGGTAGATTTCTAGGAGTGGAATTGCTGGGTCTTATGATAGATCCATTTTTAGTCATTTGAGAAACCTTCACATCTTTCCATAGTGGTTGGACCAGTTTGCATTCTAACCAGCAATGTAAAAAGGGTTCCTTTTTCCCACATTCTCGCCAGTATTTGTTGTTGCCAGTTTTTTAAATATGTGCCATTCTCAGTGGTATGAAGTGGTAGCTCATTGTGGTTTTGATTTGCATTTCCCTCATTATTAGTGATGTTGAACATCTTCCTGTGTACCTGTTGGCCATTTGTAATGCCATTTAAATGCTAAAGAAAGTTTAAAGGGGATATGAAAGGCAACATTTTTGAATGACACTGTGTATAGAAGTCGCCTCTTATCTGCAGTTTGCTTTCAGTTACCTAACATCAATTTCTGTCCAAAGTTATTATAACCAATAAGCTAAGAAAGAAGCATATTTACATAACTTGCAACATATTGTTAATCTCTTACTGTGCCTTGTATAAATTAAACATTTTTTTAAAGATATATTCATACAGAATTGGGGTACAGTCCAGAGGTACAGGGGCAGTGAGAGGATTCACCAGAGACAGAGTGGGGAGCAGGACAGGCAGATCAACGAAGTGCACTGCTGAGGGGAGCAGCAGGCGGGTCAGGAGAGGTTTGCTGTACTATGTGGGTCACCTCTGGGGCCGGGGATAAAACTCATGCTGAAGTGGTTTTAGCTTCTTAGTGCTGCATTTTATCCCACTGTGCCACCAGGGAGGGCCCTAAATTAAACTTTATCATATGTATATATTGGTATTTTCTCAGGTTTTGGGCATCCAATGAGGGCCATACCCCTGTGGGTAAGGGGGGACTACTGTATACATGTATTGTAATGTATGCCACATGGACACACTGTGTGTGTGTGCATACACACCTGCAATTAAGGACCCATGTACCATGTTCCCAGTCTCTTCCACTGCTTACATCCTGCCTAAATAAGGCACACTAGCCACAGCAGGACACGGGCACAGGACAGCCGTCAGAACATTCACAGTGCACCAGGCCTATTGTGTATTTTTTTGTAGCCTCGCCATAACCTAGATCAAAACCATCCTGAGGCGTCTCTGATGGCACAAAGGTTAAAGTCTCAGCCCTGCCAAGCTATCACCAGCCATTGCAGTTTGAGTTCGATCCCAGCCAAGGAGCTGACCCACATGGTGCAGCAGACCTCTCCTGTCCTACCCACTGCTCCCTTCAGCAGTGTATTTTAGTCAATCTGCCTGTTCTGCTTCCTACTCTGTCTCTGGTGAATCTTCTCTCTCTCTCTCTCTCTTTCTCTCCCTCTCCCTCTCCCTCTTCCTCTCTCTCACACACACACACACACACACCCGTACCTCTGTTCTACACCCCAGTTCTTATGTGCATAAATAAAATAAATCTTAAAAAACAAAAACCATGCTGGTCTACAAGACCCTGTCCTACTCGTGGCTTAGTTCTCATTGCTCCTCTGTAGAACTGTGAATGCTTCTGGCTGGCAGGACATCCTGTGACTCTCCCAGCAGGGAGCAAGGAGATATAATGATGGTTTAGCAGCTTTTGAGTGACACATCAAAGGAATCACCGGGACAGTGCTGAGCAGGGCTAGCCACTGGACCAGCCCCTGGCTAGATGTCATTCTAGACTTTGCTCTATGAAGATAAAGGAGGGGGAAGGCAACTGCATACTCTTTCGTAATCTGCCCTTTTCACTAAAAATTTGAGTCATTCCTACATGTCATTAAATATTTGAGCTGAGTTTATAGAATTCAAAAGCTAACAGACTTGAATCTTACACAACACTGCTCTTGGGTGGTGGTAGCAGGTGGTAGCAGGATCATATAACTTATAGGCAAAACAGTGCTCATGGTAAAGAACTGGAAATGGTCACAGGGAACCTCCTTCACAGAGTGCAACATGAATAGTTATAATAAGAATTCTAAGTTATTTAGTATAATAACTAAACCTGGAATATTTCCGTGGAATATCTACCCTCTTAGGTGCTCAGAGAACATTACGAATTTAACATGACAGCATCTAAGAGTCTGGAAATATTTTTCCTTATTGAACAAGTCTGCCAAAGCAAGCTGAAACATCTCGAATAGCCTATTAACCACGATCACATACTTAAATGTGGGGTCCAAAACAAAGCCACCTACCTTTACTTTTACATTCACTGATTATTTCTTTGGTGACTTGGAAGCTTCTACTGATGTAAGTGTCATAGGATTCCGAAACCACTAATTTGCTGACTGGAATATGAGGTCTGTAAAAGAAAAGTGAACAAAGGAAATGAACACATTTTGACCTGGAGACAAAGCAATTGATACTGTTCTCCACTTAATTTCAAGACCTTTCTACAGCCCCTGTAGTTCTGTTTGCTCATTTCCCTAACGGGGCTGGAGGCATTTCCACAATGGAGAAGGTACAGAGTACCTTCTGAGTGATACAGAGTATCCAACAGGGAAGGCTGTGTATGCCTGGTGTGAGGGACTGGTTGAGAAATGAAACACTCATGGCCCTCCCTGATGGTGCAATGGGTTAGGACGCCTGATGGTGCAATGGGTTAGGACGCAGCACTGCAAGCTAGCTGCAGCTGCTTCAGTGCGAGTTCAATCCCCGGCCCTGGAGGTGACCCACATGGTGTGGATGACCTCTCCTGTCTCGCCTCCTCATCTATCTGCCTGTTCTGCTCCCCACTCTGTCTCTGGTGAACCCTCTCATTGCCTGTGAACCTCTGCCTGTACCCCAGCTCTGTATACATAGATCTTTAAAAAAGAAAAATGAAACATTCAGTGCATGTCCCTCCTGCGAGAAAACTCAAAGCTTGATTTTCCTGACTTTCAGTCCTGGTCCCTGAGCTAATAGGAAGCAGAGCAGAGGTTAGATGGATCTCTCTATCTGTTTAGATCCCCGGGGAATAATGCCCCCCTCTCTCCAGTTGCCACTTTTACACATAAACCACACTAAACCACAAGGGTAGGTTTTATTTATTAAGAGTTTTTTTTTCCAGTTTTGGTCAAGATATAACTAACATACAACCTTGTATATGTTTAAGGTTTACTACATACTGATTGGATGCGCTTGGAATATTGCACGTGACTGTCACAGGTTTTATTACTAAGACTGTCCAGTCAGGCTGTACATTAAGCACCAGAATTTACTTTGCTTCAACGGAACACTTAGTGACCAGCCTCTCTCCGTCACCAGCACAACCCCTTCCCATTCTGTTTCTATGATTACAGCTGTTTTAGATTCAACCTATAAGTAATATCATGGACAGCTATCGCGTCATACCCTGTTTTCATTTTCTTTGGATACACAGACGTGGAATTGCTGGATGCTGGGTAGCTCTATTTTAATTATTTGAGGAAGCTCTATGCTGTTTGCATAGCGGTTGAAACACAACGTTCCAGCCAATGCTGTTAAGGACTTTTCTCCACATCCTTGCCAGCGCTTGTTATCAGTCTTTTGATGATAGCAGGTGTAAGCTGACATCTCATTGTGATGTTGATGTGCATTTATCCAATAATTAGTGATGGTAAGCATCTTTTCATGCACTTGTCATCTGTGTGCCTTCTTTGACAGTGTTCAGTTCCTCTGCACATTTGTGAATTGTTTTTTTTTTCATACTGTTGAATCATCTGTTTGGATTTTAACCCCTTCTCTTACATATGTATATTTGTAAATTCTCTTTCTGAAGGTCACCTTTGCATTTTGATGCTTTCTTTGTGCAGAAGCTTTTTAATTTGATGTACTCCCATTTAATTCATGCCTTTACTCATGTTTTTGGTGTCATGTCCAAAAAATTGTTGCCAAGGCCAGGTCAAAAATCTTTCCCCCTATTGACTTCTAGGAGTTTGATGCTTTCAGTTCTTATGTGTAAGGCTTCAATTCATTGTGAGTTAATTTTTTAAAAAGATTTATATATGCATATAAAACTGGGGTATAGGTCAGAAGTGCAGTGGGTAAGAGGATTCACCAGAGACAGAGTGGGGTGCAGAACAGGCAGATATACTGAAACACACTGCAGAGGGGAGGAGCAGGTGAGACAGGAGAGGTCTGCCATGCCATGTGGGTCAGTTAGCTCCCTGGCCTGGGATTGAACTCGTGCTGCAGTGGCTGCAGTAGATTCATAGTGCTGTGCTTTGACCAGTTGCACCACCAGGGAGGGCCCATTGGGAGTTAATTTTTGTGAGTGGTATAGACACAGATCCAAACTCATTCAAGTGGTTATCGAGGTTTTCAACACTATTTATTGCAGCCTATCTTTTCCTAGTATTTTGGGTTGTCAAATTTTAGCTTAAACCATATATTCAAGAGCTTATTTATGAATTCTCAGTTCTCATATTGCCTCCAGTCCTAGGTCACAGAGCTAGTAGGAAGCATGACAGAGATTAGATTGATTTACTTATCTATTTACAGCACCAGGGAATAATTCTTTAAATAGCCATAAGAATAAGTTTGTGTTTATTTTTATGCCAATTTCATACTGTTTTGAAGATTATAATTTTTTAATGTAGTTTGAAAGCAGGACAGATGATACCCTAGCTTTGTCCTTTTTCATGATTGCTTTGGCTATTAACATACAACCTTGTATATACAAGCATCTTTTATGGTTCCATACAATGAGATATCTATATATATTTTTAAGGATTTTATTTATTCATACAGAACTGTGGTACAGGCCAGAGGTGCAGGGGTGGTGAGAGGACTCATCAGAGACAGAGTGGGGAGAAGAACAGGCAGATCAACGAAGTACACTGTTGAGGGGAGCGGCAGGCGGGTCAGGAGAGGTCTGCCACGCCATGTGGTCACCTCCGGGGCAGGTGGGGATTGAACTCATGTGGAAGTCGCTTTAGCTTCTTAGTGCTGTGCTTTAACCTGCTGCGCCACCAGGGAGGGCCCAAGATATACTTTTAATGTGCTGTTGAATTCAGTTAGCACCAGGAATAATGGTTTACAGTTTTCTGTGTAGAGTCCTTATATAGCTTTGATATCAGAGTAATGCTGACTTCTAAATCAGTCACCCTTATTATAATTATGGTATCATTGACTCTTTGTGATCCTCTTTTCCTACAGAATGTTAAGGCTATGGTTATTGTTGGAGGCTGAGGGAATGTTCCTGGGCTTCCCCATTTATTTTACCTTATATTCTTAACAGATCTTGTCTCAACACTTGCAGGTATTAACTGCATATGGTTCTTGATGTGGTAGTTAGACAAACAAATTTGGTTGAATATATATTTCCTCTTTTCACTGTCTAGTAGAAGGCACATAAAGAAACTGAATTTTCAATACATCTTCCCTTTTCGCCTTGTGAATTTGGCAGATATTAAAACAATGGTAATGCTTTATTTTCAAAGATTTCCTTATAGCCTTCCCCTTATGCTTTTCCTCCTACTAATTTCTTAAAGGGGCACAAGAGGCCTACTATGTGGGGATGCTCTGTAGATACTTATTGAAAGAGCCTTAACTTGTGGTTCTCCTTGTTATAATACTGGATGTGAGGTCACTGAATAGTTGTTTCAATTGGAAAAAACAAAATACTTAGTGAAAATTTTCAGACTAGAGATTCCAGAAAATGTCAAGATGAATCTTAAGAAAACCTTTTCAATATGGGGCAAAGAGCTCCATAAAGTTGGGGATCAGATCAGATCTCGTTCCTAAGCACTCAGGCCTTTTCTCACTCAGATCAAGGATGCGTTTCAAAGCAGATGCTTGCATCCTTGGGTTCGAGAACTTACCTACTCAACACTAGTGCTCACCTTTTTAGCTCATTTTGAGCATAATCCAGACACTGGGCAGTAGAAGTCCAGGGAACAGAAAGGGAAAAAGAACCCAACTTCTGTACATTTGTGGGGTGAGCATGCTTGTGAATGATGCTCATGATACCATCACAGAAGGGGAGGGTCCCCGCGCTGGTCTAAGGAACAGGGGCTTATGTTGAGTGTTACCCTATCTTTATTGCAGTTGCTGCATGGGGTGGTGGTGAGCACACAGTCCGTGCACTGGGCCTCTGGCAGCCTCCGGATCAGCACATGCGCAGCTGCCACTGTAACTAGTAGGTCGCCCAATGTCAACCTCTGCACATAGAGCCCTTCTGGATTCTTGGCATATCACCTCCTAGTAACTCTTTTTGCAAACTCAGCTTATATGTGACTACCCCATGTAAGTCATCAGTAACTCTCAGAGCCTAGATTTGAGATCAGCATCTGTGACGTTGGGTCCTCCTGGACAAGTAGGTGACAGCTCCTACCCAAGGCTGCCTTCTGTGCCCTGGCAAGGTTGGTGTTCTCCCTTCCTCTCACTTTCCCCCTCTTTCTCTCCTTTTATTCCTTCCTGTCCTCATGTCCTCCCATCCTCTCCTCCTGCTCCTCTCACCAACTTCCTCTCCTCCTTTGCCCTCCTCTTTTCTCCTCTTCTCCCTTCATCTCCTCACCTCCCTTCCTATCATCTCTCCTCCTCCATCTTCTCTTCACCCTACTCGCCTTCCTTTCTTCTCCTCTCCTCTCCCTTCCCCTCTTTGTTCCACCTCTTTCCTTTTCCACTCCTTCTCGTTTCCTTCCTTCTTCTTCTCCTTTCCTGTCCTCTCACCCCCTTTTTCTCCTTCCCTACCTTCCACTCACCTCACTTTTTACTCCTCACTTTTCTCTCCTTTCTTACCCTCCTCTCTTCCCCTTCTCAGCTTCCTTCTATTGCTCCTTCTCATTTTCCTTCGCTTCCATCTCTCCATCTTCCTTCCCTTCCTTCTCTCTTCCCGTCCTCTCCTTTCTTTTCTCTTCTCTCTTCTCCTTTTATTCCTCACACTTCCTCTCCTCCCTTCCATTCCTCTCACCCCTTCATGTCCTCACCTCCCTCCTCTTATCCTCCTCTGACCTCCCTTCCTGTCTTTCATTCTCATTCTCTCCTCACTTTCTCTCCACCCTTCTTCTTTTTCTCTCCTTTATTCCTTTTCTCTGGCCTCCTGTTTTCCTCTCTTCATCTCTTCTGTCCTCCCTTCCACTCCTCTCACTCCTTATGTCCTACCTTCCTCTCCTCTTCTGTTCACCCCTTCTTCTCCCTCCCTTCACTCTGCTCTCCCCTTCCCCCCTTCTCCTCTACTCCACATTCCTTCTTTTCTCACCCCTTTCTCTGCACCTACCTCTCCTCTTTTATACTCCAGTCATCTTCCCTAACCTCTTCCTTTCCATTGTCTTTCCTCTCCTCTTTTCTCCACCCCTTTCTCCTCCCTTCCCTCTGTTTTGTTCCCCTCTCTTTTCCTATCACCTCACCCCCTCCCTCCACAGGGCTGATTGCTGTTGCTATTTTAGATGTTACTGATTCCCCAAAGGACAAACACAGTAAAGCAACCACTGCAGGGTGGGTAGAACAAAATATGAACTATATTTGTAGAGGATTTGATTGGATTTCTTTAATTTTATTTTTGAAGAATGCTAATTCCTTCACACAGGAGGGGGAACATGGGATTTATGGGTTATCCAAAGTCCTAATTGTAAGCAGCAAAGTGAGCTGTTAGCTTCTCCCTTAACCAGAACCTTACATTACTTCATTTGACATTGTGACAGTTAATTAAAATGAAAGGTCACAGAAGAAATTCTATATCCTGTCCTAAATTACAGAAACATCATTTCCTAACATGAAGGCTATGAAAATCTTTCTTCAAAGAAAGATTTTAAAGTGCCTGAGTGGATTTTTGGTGATTAACTATATTATTGGATACATTGGGTTCTTTTGGGGGGATAATAGGTGAAATATATTATTGGTTCACTCTTAATGGTTTACATGTAGATTATTCCTTTAAGCCATCTACGTGGGCTTCTTTTCAATCCAGCACAGTCTTGTCTAGTAAGAAAAGCAGAACACTAGGGGTAAGGGGAGTGTTGAACTGATTGCACAGCAACTTAACATGCAGAAAGGACTACCCAAAGCAGTTAGGTGTGGCACCAACTGAAGGCAAGCCACTTCACATATTAAAAGTGTCTAGATTTGGGAGTGATAGCAATGATAAATGAGGATGAAGAGAGTTTAAAATGCTTCGAGAAATTAAAAATGATAACCCAGGGCAACACACGGTCACTTTCCTGACTTCAGATGAGCTGATCCTGACCTGCAGCATCATTAGGTGGTGAGTACTCTTAGATGAATGTGGCTTTATTATTTCCTGAAACTGGGTGTGTTGGGGGAGGCAGGGAGCAGGGACAGGATGTAACTCAGTGTTACATACAGGATAATGCTGGGTTTTTTCCTCCATAGTGGAAAAAACTATGGCTTCTCCTATCACAACATCCACCAATGTAGAGAGCTGCCTGCCAGCCACCTGTGGTCCGTTAGCTCCATAACTGGCCTTAAAAGCTGTGGTCTTAAGTTACCTGTAGGTTGTATCAACACTCAGGTTGGCCGCAGCTAACTCCGATGGAGGTATCCATGCAGGTAATGTGTTCCCAGCAACCCATTTCGTCCACTCAAATAAGCCAGGTTCTACGCGGATCTTCAAGTGATTTTCTTGTTGTAAACCTTAGAAGTAAAACAATGAAAATGAGGTGAAGCACCACTATGTCCTCAGTGAAAAAGGAAATCAGATTCGCTTGGTTGCACTGTTAACCAAAGTTCTGGTAAGCCTTTTATTCCTTTGCCTACTAGAGGTCCTATCAGAGTTAAAAGAAGGCAAAAGTGTGGACTTAGAGTCAACAAGCACATGCGTTTCATACACTGGACCACCACTAGGAGGGAGAGCAGTTGTAAGTGGTACTGGCTTTGAAGAAAAAAACCAGGTCTTTTCCCATAATTTATACACTTCTATGACTGCTAGGATTCTTCTTTCCAAATTAAACCCCAAGTTTATTTTCCCAAGAAACTGCAGAAGTTCTCTTAGCATAGACTATAATTTGGTGGTTCACATCATCGTTGAGGATAACATATTCACTTTATCAGAAAACCCAGCACTGAGTAATCCCATGTGCTTTCTCAGAGTAACTCTTCTCAGTAGAATTTGTCCTCATTTAATTTCATGGTTCGCGGTTATTTTTTCTGTGCAATTTTAATATCTAATGCATTTGAATATATATATGCAATCTAGCTTCCTTAAGCTAGCAAAGAGAAGCCTCAAGCGTAGTCAGAATTCTTTGTTGACTGTGTTTTATCTGGCTCATTCTCTTTCTCTGGTATAAGCAGACATTCCAGTTCTTTTCGTCTAGTTTCTAACAGTGAAATGAGTGGAGATTCCTGTACCTCAAGCTTCCACCATTTTCCAGGTGAAAGTTGAGCCTCTTGTAAAGTCATTGCACCTGACGACAGAAATAAGCGCACCTAAGATTTGCAGATACCTGGGGGCGTCACTACTGCTGTCAGCAAGAGGCAAACAGAGCAGAGTGGGCGGAAACTATTTCATGAAACGATCAGTAAGCTCTAAATTACCACCAGTCAATGGTATTTTACAAGCCGACAATTCATCCATAAGAGCTTTACATTTCAAGAGAAACATTAAGTGTGTACTTCCTCTCATTTCACGTACCCTGCCAGTTTGATTTGGAGATTTTTACAGTTATCTGCCAGAAAGGGCTGTTGCCACAAATTCCAATTCACAGCTTTCAAGTAGCGACTTCACAGGTCTAGGATAAGTTGGGGGGCAGGGCTAGAGGAAGCCTTTGTCAGGTCTTACCTTTCAAGATGTTGTATGCAGTCTGCACGCAACGCAGGGAAGGGGAGCAGTAGACGTGGTCGATGGTGGTATTGCTCTCTAGTAAGGCTTCCCCTGCAAAGGTACCCAGGGCAGAATCCCCTGATGGCTTTGCTGGGGCTCGGCTCCACCTTAGTGGGGCAAGTCCCACACATCTTTCCTTTCTTATGGGGGCTGAGGTAGATAGAGCCAGTCCTTTCAGGCTTCCCCCCAACACTTCTCCCAGCCCCCCAGGGTTTCTGTGAGGCAGGCAAGTGACAGGCTCCTTCTCGTCCTTTCCTTTCTCTGGTGCTAACAAGTAGTGAAGTTTTCATTAACAGGTGCCTAGCAATGTGATGATGCTCTGACGTTAAGCATGTGATGACATTGAGCTTTGCATGGTGAATATCAGAACTGGTTTAAATTTCATTCTTTGCTCAACCAGAATCTCACTCTGTCATGTTCTTCACATGAGGTAAATCCTAACACTGTCCACTTTCCTCTACAGGATCCTGTCTGAACACCTTAATAATTTGGCCAAGCTCCTCTTTGCCTGGCCACCATCTGTGCTCTGGAGACAAGACAGCTTGTTTCCCCTCTGCCATTGGCACTGATTCTCCACTTGATCTCAGCCAAAGGGCCAAGAAGCCAAGGTGCCGATTCTCCTATCTCAGGTTTTATTTTGCTCCTTCCTACTCTTCTGACCCTTTGTCCCATTGACTTCTGCATCAGGTATGAGCTTACTCATCTTTGCTCCTATCGGTGCTCCCCTAATACTTGGGACATGCTGTGGTCTGAGTGCACTGTACTGTATGGTGTTTACTCACTCATTTATTTCCCTGAGGGTGGCGACTCCAGATCCCAAACACCTAGCATAGGACCTTTAACCAAGTGAGTGATCTATTGGATTGTTGGATAAGTCACAACCTCTTTTCTATGTTTTTTAATCAAAAAAAATGTGTCTCGACTTTTCCAACAATCCAATGTATTAAATGATTGAAAAGTCTACGTTGCCGGGTGTGGCGCCAGGGCTCTTCAGGGCAGAGCATCTTCAGAGGGTCAGCTGGCTGGGGTGCTGCAATTACACCAGGCTGCCCTCCTCTTTGGCCTCAGCCTTGTGCTAGAGACATATGTCTTCCATCCCAGTGATGCCCTAGACTTCCCTCACCTTGCCCCATCACTAGGCTGTGACCCCCTCAGTTGAGAACACCCCTATTCATTTTGGCAAACCGAGGTGCCAAACAGTGTTCTGATAGAACCCCAGACTGTGTCCTGCATCCCCAAGAGCAAACTTGAAAAAGCAGCCGGATTCCCTCCAGGGCACATACCCACAAGCCTTGCTTGCATGCATCCAAACACGGTGATTGGGGCGTCTTTCTCGTAATCCCGGAACCCACCACTGCGCTGAGGTAAGCTGTGAGGCATGTTCAGGTTGGTGCGCATGTAGCGGCCTAGGGGTGGGGAAAGCCAGAGGAGATGGCATGAGTTGTGGCCTTGGGATGGTGGTTGCAGATTCTGGCAGCCCCTCCATTTTTCTCTTGGTCAGAATCTCCAGAGCAGTTGGGAACCATGGAGGCTGAGACCCTCTCTTGTGTAGAGTGTCTTAGAATCCATCCTTCCATTCAGGTGATAAAGTGACAAGAGGTAGTTTTCAAGGCAACTAACAAGACACTAAAGCAAGTGGGAGTCCGATACGGAAGCTTCTATCTTAAATAGGCCACTCAAATGAAAAATGGAACAAAAATGAGCCTGGGTTGACTTAACACAGGGAACTCTGGCCATGGAATCAGGACACCCGCCTCTGACTTTTCCATTCAACCAAGGGCAAGACATCTGCCTTCTGTGTCCCAGTTTATAGAATGGGGACAAGAACACTTATCTCTTCCCTATACGTCAATACAAATAGGCTGGACTTACCACGTAATAATGATAGGCATTTTTGATAGCACGTGTTAACTATAAATGACTCCATTTGGATAAATGTAGCTTGACTGTGCCCCCTAGAGGCCGTGACAGGTACGCCAAGCAGGCCAACCCACTACCCACCTTTGGCATCGAAGCACTGGGACAGCCAGTACTTGCCAAATACAACATCCATCCTCTCCCCGTGCCGACACACAAAGAGGCATCGCTTTTGAGGACCAGGCTGGCTGCCGACCCTCAGAGGCTGCTGAGAAAGAAAGACCATCAGTGGGGAGCATATCAGATGTGCCCTGAGCTCTAGAACAAGTTCTACCAAGATATAACTTGGGTAAGCCCCTTACATGCCTTGGGCTTTGGTCTGCACAATGGAGGGATTAAGGCTCGTCCTAAAGCACCTCACAAGGTATTTTTAGGATCAACTGGACAGTAGGTGTTTGATGATTAGAGATCTGATCATGGCGTTATCATCACTCCCCTTGCTGAGGGAAGGAACAGCATTTTGCCAGTAGTAAATCACTGCACCTGATGTGCAGCTTGGAGGTGAAACTGTCACTTTTGGAGAGAGAGAGGCTTGGGCAGGACAGTTCCCTCCCTGTCCACTCCTCCAGGGAGTGAGGACTTCTGTGATCACAAGTATGTCTCCTCATCTCTAATGTGGGGTTCCAGGGTCTGCTCAACAACATTGCCCTGCTCTTCCTTCTCTGGTCACAGTCTAGGTCCCCCCAGAGATACCACAGGGAGGAGAGCTGCTACCTCTGGGTGATGAAAGAGGGAGGTCTAGTCAAAGGCATGTCCGAACGCCCTTGGTTCTGTACCTGTGGGGCGGGTCTTGTTAGCGCTTTACACCTCGTCCCAATGAAGTTAATACAGTTGGTCCTTGAGCAAGTCAGGTTATGTGCTGACCTCTGCACACCGCCCCCCACCCCACCCCATTTATTGTCAAAAATCCACATGTAAGTTTTGATTTCCTCCAAACATAATGACAATTGCCCCTTGGTATTCACAGGGGCCTGGGATCGGATTCAGCACCACCCTAAGGCTGCTCAAACACCTGAGCCGGCTCCACTTACAGCCTGGCACACTGCAAAACGCAGACATGAAGGGTCTAATGTACTCACCGAAATCTGCATGTGAGTGGCCCTGGGGACTTAAGCCCAATGTCATTGGAGGGCCTGCTGGGGAGTGGGATGCTGGCTCTCTTCCCTGCTGTACCAAGAAGTCTGCTCTCCTGGTCTTCAATATGTTTGAACTTTTTGATTTGGCGCCATCAGTAAGGATTTCCCTCTCCAGCCCCTCCTTTCTGGCTTAATTGGGAATCCTAACACTGTGAGCCCTGTTCTGATCTTCAGACAATAGCCTTCCTCAGCAGCCTGGACCCAAATGCTGGTCACCACTGTAGGGACCTTGCATCTCAGTCTTGAATTGTGTGCCCTTCCTTCTTAGGAGATTGGGGAACTTTTGGGGAAGCAGCAAGGGCCAGGCCTCATATTAGTAAGTGGGTGCGTGGCGATCCCGAGTGGCCATTAGGATGTGTTCCTGGAGTCAGCCTTACCTGCGTGGGCTGGCAGATGATGGTCAGGGGTGTCGTCTCCCCCAGGCCCTGGTCTTCATACTGCCGCCTCTCTAACACCCCATCACCAAAGGGCAGCGAGCTGGAAGACGATGTGTTTAGGATGGAGTAAGAGCTGCGGAGGAGGAGAAGGAAGATGGTCAATCCCTTGGCCAGGAGACACTGGTATTTCATTCTGCGGCCCAGGAAGCAACACCTCTAGTAAGCAACTGGGCAAATGAGCATGGGTATCCCATTCTGGAGAAAAAAGTGACTTGTAATTAATGCATTACAGGTGGATGAATTTCCATATCTGGAACACACACATTCACTGGCCAAGAGGCCAGGGGTCTTGCACTTGGGATGCCATGTTGAAGAGAAATGAGGAACCAGTTTTATACCATGGTTTCCAGTGATTCTGATGACTCAAAAGGAAAGCAGTTCTTGATGCCTTAGTCTTTTCCATGGTGAGTTCCATCTGTGGTGTGTTTTGATTTGTCTGCTGTCCCCACCCCCTGCCTGGGGCTCCTATCTCCCATTAACCTTCTTTAACTCAAACCTCACCCCTGTTTCAGTAACACTTCAACAAGATGTAATATAGACACTTCAGAGGAGACCATTCATTCTTACCAGAGGTGGAGCTGGGTGCCAAGAACTCTCAGTTCTAGGTGGAACACTAACTGCAGGAGCCCTTGAAAGGTTTCACTGCAGGGAAGTCAGTCAAATCATGTGGGGTTTGGTGAGGACTCCCCAAAGCTTACTGGGCACATCAATCAACAGCTCTGACCCCTGGGCTGGGCCAGGGGAGGGCACTGAGTTCCTGCTTGTTTACAGCTAGGTAGCCAGACACCCCAACGTGCCCAGGGAGAGTCCTGGTTTGTGACTGACCTGGCAATCTGTTCAATTTAGCATCTGTTCTGGATTATTGAATATAGTATTCTTCCTTTTGAATTTTATTTTTAAAAAGCTTTACCGTCACTGATTTAACCCCGCTAACTGGTGGTTACAAAACCCCCTTTAGAATACATTACAAAATAGGATTTTAATAATTTTAGTGCCTCTTTCACTCTTAGTTTTTTTTTTTTTTTTTTTTTTAATGAGTGCCAAGAGACTCATCCTACTTATAAACTAAGGTCTCAGAAGCCCTTGTGCCCTCAGCATCCCCAGGAGAGCTGCCACAGCCCTGCTCTTCACAGACAGAGCCCAGGAGGCCCCAGAATCTCGGTTTAACAAGACCTCATAGGTAAGTAGGATGTGCAGCCAAAAGAGACCTCTCATAGTCAAATAGAAGTCCTTGTAGCCCAGGGAGATTTTGTGACATAGGCGAAGAGGACAGCTGTTAGTTTTAAATCAAGACCCTCCTGAACGTCACACAGGAAAGGAAAACCCAGTTTCACCGTCTGACTCAAAAAGCTTCAGGGCCGGAAGCATCTAGCTGAGGCAACTGTCCTGACACCCTGCTTGTGCACGTTCCTTAATTTCTTTGCTTTATTAAGGCTGTGAAGGTGCTGACAGCTCTTCCTATCTCCCCTTCAGCTCGCCTGGCCAGGACAGCACCAGCCTCCCTCCTCCTTGACTGTCATCGTAACTGAAGGATCTGACTCACCCTGCGAGTTTGGGGCTGTCAGCTGCAGTGACAACAGTCAGATGCTGAGAGAAGAGTAGGAAGAAGGCCGAGTCTGACACCCAGAACACCTTCACCAGCACCGGGGAGATGGTCCTTGCATCCCCTGGCCCGCGTGCTCACCCAGGAGGAAAGGTCCGCCCACCCCAGGTCAGAGGATACTCGGAGCTTCACCAGTGGACAAAAATATGGAGACTCAGAACCAGGCAAGACACCAATAAGGGTCATGGGGAGGATCTCTGAAAAGGACAGGGCTGGAGGGCTGTGAAGGACCACTGACCCCCAAGTCCCAAAACTTGTTACTTGGGTTCCCAACTTCCCATCCAGTCAGCCAGGACTGGATTTACGCAGCCCCTGTGAGGCGTATGGAACTCCGGTGAAGGCGAGGGAAGGTCTGTCTGATAACAAGCTGGCCTCTGCCTCCCATGTCTGGGAGTCACCGGGAAAAGGACTGTTCTTTATAGGATCACATGTGTGCAGAGACATCTGCTTTGACAAGCATGGAAGAAGACTGGGAAACAAGAAGTTAGAGGAAAAAGACTAATCATAAGGCTGATGGCTACCTGAACTCCCCACTGAAGCCTCACCTCGCCTCTGAGGCAAGTGCACTTCTCTCCACTTTCTAGATTAGCAAACTGATGCTAGGAGGCCACACCGCTGGCGAGTTAGGATCTGAATCCACGACTTTAGAAACAAGGATCCATTACTGATCACAACACCCTAATTTAGCATCTCCCCGCATTTAGCAGGGGTGACTGCAGAAGCTGGTGTCAGAGCTGGCTCCCAGGACAGTCACGTCACTAGCCACCTCTCCAGATGGCGCAGACGTCTCTGCATTCTGTGACTCTGGTCCCTCACGTTCACCCTCTGCCAGCCTGAGCTCTAATTGAGGCACCCAAGGGTTTGACTAGGGTGATGGGGTCACAGGGCTGATCACGTCTCCTCTTTCGCGGACACGGTCCTACTTTTAAAACAGTAATCTGGGAGCTGTATCAGCTTCTTGTTCTCAGCTTATTCACCTATCGTTTGCTTTACTTGTTTCCATAGGGATAAAATGATTTTTGAAAACCCAACTTGCTTTGATGTTCAGAAGCAATTTCTGAACATGTTTGGGGGCAGCAGGAGGCAGGTTTGATCCTCTACTGTGCTGCAAAATGGGGTGTGTACTGAGGGGCTGGAGGCTGGAAGGGGGCAGGAAAGGCTGGGTAGGGACCAGTAAGGAAGACCTTGGTTTCTCCCATTTTTAGGTTTGCGGCCTGCTTACTGCTAACTAAGGGAGGGGCCATCTTCCCTTTTCTTTCTCCAGGCCAAACACTCATCGAACACGCCCATCTCCACATCTCTTGAGGTAATGATGACACTGGACACCATGGGCCAATGCCAATGGCCCCGGCCCCCAGCCACGTGGCAAGAACCAGATGCCTGGGTGGCCAGGGAAGGGCTGGCTTCGGACTTCTCAGTAGAAGAAAGAGAAGGTAACTTTGCTCCTGTTTCTCTGCAGAGAAAGGTGGTCATATTGCCCAGGGGCCAAAGAGTAGTAAGGGATGGGCGGGATCCCTCCACACCCAGATAAGGGGGTTCCCATGCGTCTGGTGGGCTCTGTCCATTTCCTTGCCCACACTCTCATCTAGGCATGTGGGGGTCAGCACTGACCCACTCTAGGGCCACCCAGCAAGTAAGGGGCAGCCTGGTCTCCTGATCCCAGGAAATCCTTTATGACTAGTCCTGCTGGCACAGTGGCATCTTCCCAGCTGCTGTGGGGCTAGACCCCAGCACAATGGCCCAGGACAAGATGGCCCGAAGCCCCGAAACAGTGCTGGGGTGGGCCAGACAGTCGCATCTAATGGGACAGGCACGGCAGAGCTAGGCAAGTCGCCTCTCCCTGCTCTCGAGCCCCAGTCAGCCCCCTCCTGGCTGCCTGGAAACTGCCCAGCTCTCTCTCCTCCATCACTGTGACTGCCGCCCTTGTGTCCAGATTCTTCAGAAAGCAGCAGCAAAGAACTGAGGGTCTGCTTACCCGTGAAATATCCAGGTGCTGCACTCGTCGGCCTTGGTGATGTAATTCTCAGGCAGGAGTCCGGAACAGCCAGTGGTCAGGGACGTGCCGTAGATCCAGCCCTCGCTGGTGCTCGTCTGCTCCATCGGCGACATGAAGATGAAGTCCCCAGGCACCAGCTCCAGCTCATCGTCATTCTGTGGTGTGTACGGGTAGATCACCTGTAACGTCTGAAAAAGAGGGGGTTGGGTGAGGCCCACATGTGACCCGCTCTTTGGTGCACGTGCGCGCCCCCAGGCATCTGTGTCTAGTGTCCACATCCAGATGTGATGTTCACAGGAGGCCTTCGGGACTGTAGGCGCCTGCCATATAGTTTTGGAGGCAGATCAGAAAGCATTGCTCTTTCAGGGTTGAGGGCAGTGTGGTCCTGCCACTATTGGGTGGTTCCAGACTTTCCTTCAGATGCATCTTCTCTTCCCTTCAGGAATGAAAAACAGTTTTAAGAAGTTCATCTGAAAACCCACAGCTCTCCTGTCTGGGACCTGGTCTCCCCACTGCTCTACCTGCCAGGTAGGTGCCACCAATACTTGGGGGTTACTGATGGGCCAGGTGGGCAGAGAGAAGGTGGGCATGAAGGATTCTCCTCTCTAGACACCTCAGCTACTTGAGAGAGACATGGTCGCTGCCTTCAAGGAGTTTCTTTAAACCCACATTTTCAACAGTGATCTTGAAAGAAAATTATCTTTCACGTTCATCAGGATATACGGCAGGGTGTCACCAGCCATCATCACAGCCCAGATGGAGAACATGTGTTCCCTTCTCTGGGCTCAGAAAAGCCCCCTGTACCAACCACAGGCCATGCTGATTGATTCCACTGTTGCTGGCCTCCTTTCCTGGTATAAATAAATATCACAGGCCTGAAGATACTTTGGAAAACAATAGCAGGCGACCTCAGTAATAAGGAAAAGATTTCCTGTTTGTTTCAGACACAAAGATGCAGCCGTTTTCACAGATTTTCCTACAACCCCCAAGGCAAACCCTTCAGGTCCCACTTTCAGGTTTTTAACTTTGTTAGCTTTGGTTTCCACATCAAGTATTATTTCACAGGACTATAAACGTCAAATGAGGCAATCTTAGACTCCTTAGGACAAAGCCTTGTCTATAGACGGGCATAATTACTTCTGTTCCACCCTCGCTCCCAATTTCCCTATATGTGCATCAGCTAACTGGTGCCAAGGTTACATGTTGGAACTGTTTCCAGGGCACTGAATTCCCTCCTGGAAGGCTCTAGTGAAAGGAAACAGTTAAATGAGATTGTTCTCAGAGGACTAAAAGTGAGAATGCCACTGGATTTCTGATTTTCTGTCTATTGAGGGCACTGTTTCTTCTTAATTTTACTCTAACCTCTTTCAGCGCCAGGGTTACTGCTTTTCTGCTCTGCACATACTCAAGTCACTTTCCCAAACTAAGCAGAAAGGTTTTCTGCTGGGTGGTTAAAACAGCTCAAAGAAAATCAGAATCACAAGAAATCTCTTCAGTCTCAAAGGCACATGTGTCATGACCCAACCAAAGGCTGGAACAGGGGGGAGGGAGGCGCCGTGTCAAGGTGAGCGAGTCTGTACTCTGCCCTGTAGACACGCAGGCAGAGCCGGGTCATGGTCAATCAAGGGCTGCGACGGCCGGCAGAGTGGCTGGACCCCTCACACCTGGCTCACTAAAGAGCACGAGAGTTAGGGTACAGCGGCAAAGCCCAGCCCAGACCTGCTGCCTGCATCGTGGCTGCCTTTTCTCACTCACCTACGTGTGAGAGTTGTCAGGACACGCACCTAGCTGTGCTCTGCTTTCCTTATTCTTCTGTTTAGCATCTTCTTGAGTCTGTCTCTAGCTTGCTTTTCTCCTTCCTCCGTGAGGGCCACACTCAGTTTCCCAGCTGACATCTTGGGAAGGGCAGGAAGGACGGCGCCTGGTGACCTCTGAAGCTCTTTTTACTCTTAGTAATAGAGTGGTGTTTCCCTGACCCCATGCTGGGTTTTATGTTTGGGTCTTTCTATGCACCTTTTATTTAGCCCAGCAAGAGATGATCACTTTACTCATGAGGAAACCAGGTGTGTGTAGGACATTGTAAATCTGTCTCTGGCTGGAGAACAGAATCTGAGGCATGGGTGCTGGAGTCTAATATGTAAGCTTGTGTGTGATTCTATCCTTCCTCTCGACTTCTACAGCTTGGCATATAAAACGGGCTCAGCCTCAGGTGACTGCTAAATGGAAGAGACTGTGTGAAGCACTAACAGGCATCTGTGAGCCCCAATTAAGTGAGGCTCTCACAGTGGCGAGATGAGGCCCGGGCGTCTTCCTAAGCAGCACTGTGCCTTGCTGTGTGTCCTTGCCTGTTCCCTTCTCTGGACATCTGTCACCTCATTACGGTGATCAGCCAGACCTGCCTCCTAGGGGCAGAGTAAGGGAGAAGGCGGGCAGGATGAGGCGTACCTGTGCAGGAGGGCTCGGGCAAAGCCAAATGACCAGAGAGGGGAGGTCTCTGTCAAAGGGGCCGAGGTGAGTTATCAGAAGGAACAGTAATAGGTGAGCTTTTACAAATATGAGTTAAAAGAGGCCAAGCTATTTTTAGAAAATAATTCATCGTGGGCGCTGGCTGCCTCTTTCCCTCAGTGCCAATTGAGCAGAATGTGGGTCAGGCAGAAAAGCAATTACCCTTTGTGTTAACTGGAGGGCAGTGTTGATTAGAAGATATTTCTTGTAAAATTCCACTGCTACCTTCCTTCCTTCTCTTGGAAAAGGTGACTTGGGACAGTCCTCTGCATGCAACCTTTGACTTTTTCTTTACCCTCCAAAGAATCCTATTGGCCAAACCTCTCTTGCTACATGTGGGGTATCACCCTAAGCAATTCCTGGAGGCGTCAGAATTCACAAGTATAGACCTGCCACGCAGCCTGTCCTGGGGCTGGAGCTTTGTCACAGTCAGCCCTTCTCAGCACTGACAAAGCAATGACCAGGCCTCCTGCTCCAGACTCTGAACTTTTGTATCTCACACTGAAGTAAGACGTCCATAGAAGATGTTAAAACTGTAAACTAACAACCATGTCAGTTAGAGTTCAGTATATCAATAAAGTTCAATATATCAAGTTAAATGGACGACTGATCCTTCATCAAACTAAGTGGTTTTTGTTTTGTTTTGAGTTTCTTTCTTTGAAAGGATTGGCCATTTCACTGGTCAGAATCCCCAGGTGCTGGCTTTAGCTCTGGGCCTACATTGTTAGTTCGCTTTGGGCCAGCTGCTTAACCTGTGTCTCAGGTTATGCTTCAGGAACAAAATGGACAGCATTAGTCTGCAGAGATGGCATGAGGTTGTCCTGGAAAGCAAAGCTGGTCTCCTTACCTGCCTAGGACACAGTGAGTCCCTGTGATGACCAAGGCTTAGCATGAGCTTTCATTCCCTGTGTGGCTACTCTCCCTCCTCTGCTGCAAAGCTCCTTGAAGACAGGATCACATTTTAACATTCTAGAACATTCCCACATATCTAGCCTGACTTAGATAGTGAACAACATGTTGATTATGTGATTGCAGCTTTTTATATCAATGTGCTCTCCTCATCCCAGATCTGTAGAAAGTCATCTGTCAACATCAGGAACTGATCTCATATTTGAAAATGTCCCAACATATTTCTCCTGTCTATTTTCCTATTTCATGTCTATCTCCTTCCAGCAAGACTAGCAGGATAGGGAGAACAATCGGGGTTTTATATAGATGAACCACTAGGAATGCAAGGTGGGAGGGACACAAGCTCACAGCCTCCCAGTGAGTTGGGCAGAGACTGGGCAAGATCCCAGGCCTTGTGCTCCTGGTCTATACTCTTTGTGTCGCTTGCGTTGGGTGCCCGCCCATCACCTGCAGCAGTGAGTGTCAAGCGCCCTCCAGGAGTGACAGTGAGACCTACCTCGTGGTTAGCAAATCGGATGTCCCGCGAGAATATGGTAGCCACCCAGTCGCACCCAAGTTTGACGTCTATGTTCTGGGCTAGTTTCTCCAGGGTGGGTAGGTGACTCGCTTGGAAGTGGTAAGCTAGCGTCACATGCAGCTGCTTCTTATGAGGTTCCACATGGACTTCTGGAAAGAGGAAGGAAAGGCCAGTTATTAGGATGTGTTCATAAAAGCAATGATGAAGACTTAGGGACACAAAGGTACCCTGATCCGTTCTGCTTCCCAGCTAAGAAGGCGTTGGTCACACAGAGCCGTTCCTCTCTTTCCCTATAGCAGGAGAGAGGGCAACAGCTCCTGAATCCACACACCAGGTGTGAGATAATCACACAGTTTTCCTGTAGACCTTGGGATCTGTTCCGAGGCAACTGTGGTTGGCTCTTTCCCACAGCAACTCTAGTTAATTACCAACCCCACCAGGCAGTTGAGGAAATGAGACCTAATGGGGTGAGTAATTCAGAGTCTGTAGAAACAACAGAATCCATAACTGCATGACTCCGAAGGTTGTATTGCCTTTGTTTTGAAATCAAATATAATCAAGTCTCTTAGCTTCTGGGTGACTCCAATGGCAAAATGAAGGGAAATATGGAATACTTTCAAAGTTTAAAACAGGATTTGGTGTCAAATAATTCTTGCTCAGAGTTATAGATCTGTGAATGATGGAGTTTTTAGGAGCATCCCAACCTCAGTTTGTGACAACTAATTTGCAACATGCTCTAGGGAGTGCAAAATCACCTCTAGTTGAGGACCATTGGCTTAAAGTATGCAGGCTATTTTAAAGGCTTCATAACCAGCAACCTACTTACGTCATGGAGGGGTTTTCCTTCTCTTTCGTACTTGATTAAATGGGGAGATTCATTTAATCTTTGAGTTAGACACTGAAAAAGATGCATCTAGAAGGTTGCTAGTGAATTGAGGAGTAAAGGGAACAGCTCAAGACACACAGAAGTAGAAGCTTCCTCTTTGAGTACTTTATCACACAGTATTGTATTCCTTTGGTATAAACCCCCCAAGATGACAGCTATGTGTCTTGTTCAAGAGTCTTGCTAAATAAGATACACATGAACCCCTTAGCCACCTAGCATGAAGGATGACACTAAGTCTACTTACAGGAATTGGAGATGCCCATAACTCCATTACCAAGACATAAGTTCTAGGGTAAAGACCTGGTGACAGCCTTCCATGGGGCCACCCAGTTCTCCAAATCGCCACGAGGGGGCGCCACCAGGGCGCAGAAGCCAGCAAGTCACATTCATAGAGTGCAGATTCTTGAACAACTGGCTGTGCCCTTTCCTGTAAAGGAAAGCCAGCAAGAGCCACAATACATGCTTTTCCAGGAAGCATGTGCTCCTATTAAGGGATGAAGTTGGACTCTCAAACATTTTTGTAAATAAATGGCAAATCAATAGTTTTGAAGAAGGGAAAAAAATAGATGTTGAAGCCAAAAAAAAAAAAAAAAAAATCAGCCACAATCCTGGCTTAGACCTACTTTACTCAGTTGTGAAGGATTTGGGTTTTGTGGCTGCAACATTAGTTTGGTTCTTGTGGGAGTTTTAGTGATTTTGACTATAGCTACTGTGGGATAAGACAGAGATAGTTCCCTGAGTAAAGGGATAGATACAAGAAATCCTTGGACTCTCTATTATCCATTTCTCTGAACTATTAGGCTCCTTGCAAAGTCAGGGTAGAGACTAGTCCTGAGAGAGAAACGGGCTTCTGGAGGGGGATATGGTCTAAAGAGAGGCAGTGTCTTAGAGCCCAGAGCTCCTGAGAGGAGACCTGGCTACAAACTGGGCCCTGATCACAGGCTCCTCAGGTCCCAGTCCTGACTGGGTCTGTTCTGATAGAGAAAATAAGCACCTGAGCTGAGGCTGGAACCCAGGTGACCTCAGGCCCCGAGTCAGGAGACTGAAAGGAAAGTGTGGTTTACTTGGCTCTCCCCCTGTGGCCTTCTACACCAAGGGTTGGGGTGGAGGGCCACCTGGGGTTTCCAGCTGTGCATTCACCTCTGGATTCTGGCCTGCGCTCACAGTTGTGGGGGCTGGCTGTGGGTTCCAGCAGGTTGGGCACTGATTGGCTCAGTGGATTTTACTGTTTGTCACTAAATGGCTCCACTCTCCTCTATGCTAGCCACCCCTCACGGAGTAAATACAGAGAACCCCCCGTAAATGCCCACAGGGAGGAGGTTTGTGAGGAAGCAAGCAGACTGAACTAGGAGGTGGTGGTGGGGCTACAAAGGAACAGGGTTTGTGGAGCAGTGACATGTGTCCCTTCCACTTGGGTGCTGGGGAGCGGGCATTGGGCGTTCTCTCCAGAAGGTGTGCAAACCAGTAGCTTCCTATTTTTTGCAAGGACACGCACAGGAGAGGGGGTTTCTTTGTGTTCCGCCCCTCCTGCAGGACCTGCCCCTCTGACTCCACCCACTCTTCTCAGATCCTTCCCCAACCCTCTCCTGCCCGGATTTTGACGCACAGGACCCAGGCTGGCCTGACAACTCTGCTCACCGGTTTTGGAGGCCGCTTCCGCGGCAAAGTCTGCGGCAAACTTCTTGAGGACCTCAGCACTGTCCTCCTTCACAAAGAGGCCGATGAAGTTGGAGGAGGTATAGAGCTCCAGGGGCAGTGGGGCCGAGAACTTACACTTCCAGCGACTGACGGTGGCCTGCAGGGCTTCCCCCAGGGCATCCACCTTGCTGTCTTCACACTAGCAGGGGAAACAACAGGTTCATCCAGAGACCAGGGGAGCCAGGCCTGAGCTCGCTCGTGGCTCCTTGCCATTTGCACCTGGCTGTGAGGTCACCACTGCTGTTCTTGAGGAGGGAGGACAGCAGACTCCCAACCTCCTGTCTGCTCTGATGTGCCAGGAAGTCAGGCCTGGGGGAGCGGGAAGCCAGGGGGACGCGGCACGCCAGGATCAGTTGTTGTGTGTTTCTCACTGCTTTGCATCACTGTGCCTTTTCCCCTTCCTCTTAGATGAGCAAAGCTTGCTCTGTGTCCACCCCCATGGTGGTTGGGAGGAATGGAGCTCTGAGCCGTGACAGCCTCCTCCCACCCTCTCCAGGCTTGGAGGAAGAATGAGTGTCTCTCAAACTCTGCCTGCCTTTGAGAAAGATCCTGGCATGAGTAAGAGGAAGTGATAATCATCTTGATTTTCAGCGTGAATGGTAAGAAAGAAGGTGTGAGGAACATATTTTTTACCCAAAAGGAGAGAGAGAGGGAATCTGGAAAACCACCACCCCAAATATTTTAAAAAGGTATTGTCTTAAAATGCTACCATTCCACCTCATCTTGAATACACCTGGGTCTCTACAGAGACCGAAAATAGATGAAATGTATTTACATTAATTATAGTGAGGGGGTTTTAATTTAGTGCTTAAATAAGCTTCATGGCTGCTAGAAGTGGGCCAGGTAACTGCAGCAGAGACGGCCTCTGCCGTCTCTGGAAAGAGCAGTGAACTCCACCTTGCGCGGTGTTCGTGCGGCTGACGTCTCCCTGCCTGGCTGTAGACCAGGTTTCTGGTTCTCAGCTCTCTAGTTTCCATTCTTCCTTTGAGAGTGGAAAAGCAGACCACAGGCCTGGTGACGTGGGAAGGTGACTCGTTGCCACTGTGGCCGCCTCGCCATTGTGACTCTTGGGGCCACGGCACCACCCTGGGTGCTCCTGGGCCTCGGTGGCTCCTGGGAAGAGCACCGGGCCAGCAGGGAGGCCCTCCGAGCCCTGACGGCCAGTCTGACGCTTGGAGCCCAGGATCATTCCCACGGGGCCCTGCACTGTGACCCCTGGCAGGGTCGGGGGTGGTGACTCACCATGAAGAACTGGCAGAGGGTGATGTGGGGGAAGATGTTGTGTGCCTTGTTCTTCCCACAGATCTGCTTCGACTGCTGCCAGAAGTCGGAGAGCTTCTGGGCCAAGGGGCCCGTGGGGCGGAGGTAGAGCACATACTCCCGAGGCAGCGGGTCGTCCAGGAAGGGGTCGCCCACGTGGGAGAACAACCTGCGGGGGACAAGGGAGCCGAGTAGACCTTGTGTGAGAACAATGGAAGGGAAGGAGGAACAGAGAGATCCCTGCCCCCACCCCGGGGGGGAAGGGGAAGAATTTCACCTCTGTGTTTTAACAATCTACCCTTGAAGCTCACACAAAGTCTCCTCACTATCATGACATCTTCTAGCCACTGACTGCAGCCTGAGTTCGATCCCCAGCCAGAGAGCTGGCCCACACGGCTCAGCAGACCTCTCCTGACCTCCCTGCTGCTCCCCACCCCTCAGTGGTGTAGTTCAGTTAGTCCACCTGCTCCCCACTGTCTCTGGTGAATCCTCTCACCCTCAGCACCTCTGGCCTACACCCCAGTTTTTGTATGCATAAATAAATAAATCTTAAAAACCTGAAAGCCACTCTCTGCGAGCATTCTTAGATAAACTCCAAATCCTTCCCCGCTCCAGTCCACCTCTGCAGTTCCAACCCTTCATGCCCCTTCATTTCAGCCCATGTTTAAACCCATGTGTCCCCAACAAGGGAAACCGCGTGTGTGTGTGTGTGTGGTGGGGCCGCCCTGAGTGGTGGGTGACATCCTGGAAGTAAGATTTCTTCTAAATTGACCTGCCCAACACCCCCACACATCAAGGGGTATTGTGATGGGGAGCTACTTGGGAATGCTTTGGATGCTTTGGCTTTCTTTCAACAGCTCTAAGGAGAAGCCTGCCTGGGCCAGGGCAGAGGAAGCAACTGGCTTTGCATGGGTTTGTCACATGGTGTTTGGCTCTGCTCCCCTGGAAGGGTCTCTGAGAAAGGCTGCACCTCTCTGCTCATTCACATTCTTTGAGTTAATTACATGCTATTTTCTCTATTTATTTATTTCATACCAACCAGTCACAAGCCGCCTGAACACTTCTTCCTCCTGTGGATGCCAAGGCTTTTTGTCTGGAAGGAAAAATCAGATTTCTGTTGTTAGTATTTTTAGCCTCTCATTGGCTTCTGCCACTGCAGGGACAGGAATTGAGAGTGAAGTGGGCACCGGAGAAGCCTTCCCCATGGTGCTGGGGAGAAACCTAAACAGGGACCCCCCAGGGCCCCACTCAAGGCCTGTGTACGAGGACGTGTGATGAAGTTCCGTGTAACTAGTGCCGGGCGGCCCATGTGGTCTATTTTCAGTAGTCTCCACAGTAGAGTTTTATTTTTGCTTCCCTAAAGGTTGTCACGTCTTTGTTTTTCCTTCCTTCTCACCCACTTACGCTTCCTGACCCAAATCCCCTACAGACTGTTTCCCAAACAATGTAGCAAAGTGTGCTAGAAAGTGGGAATCCATGGCCATGAGGAGAATTGGCTTGGTAGGTTCGGTGTCTCCTACTACATCCAAGCTCCACCCCTGCCCCCCAGGCTACATCCCACCGTCTCTGGTATTTTAGACATCTTTGGGAACATGGTGCACTGGGAGAGAGTGTGACCGCTGCCTACCAAACACCCACGGCTGGAGGAACAGCCCCAAGCCTGGGGTGGGGGGGGGGCTGGCACAGGTGCCTATGGCAGCGAGGCCTGGGACCTGGGCACACAGAGCGCCCCAGAAACTTCAGATGGTGAGGTCTGGGTTTGTATCCAGCTTCACTAGTCACCTACGAGTCACATTACATGCTTATGTCCACCCACTCAATATTCTCATCAGTGTTGTCTAGGCCCCAGGAATTGAAGAACAAGAAGTATATGGTCCCTGCCCTCATCAAGCTTTTAGGCAGGCTGGCATGGAAACATGAACTATGTAGCTAATTATTTAAATCTATGGGTGGGAAGTGCAAGGGAAAGCATGAGGAGGAACCTAAGGACAGAGGACAGGAGAGCTAACTGGGGCTGGCTTGGAGGCGAGACCTGGAACACCTATGGGTGGCATGGACTGAGCAGTGATGGTGGGAGATGCCAGGACAGCCACTGTTTAGTGAGTTGTGTATAGACGGAGCCACCTTGGAGGTGATCAACAAATGCTCAGTCCCATCCTTTTATCCTATGGCAATTCAGGGTTTTTGAGGGAGACAGAAGAGTCGGGAGGAAATTCTAGCTAAATGGCCCTCAAAGTATCCCTTTCCTACTTGCTCTCTTGCTCTGAGCCAGCTCCTTCCTTTTCCTGGTCCCTCTTGCAGGGCAAATGGGAATGCTGATGGGTTAGAATCACAGAGGTCAGATCAGACGTGACCCCAACTTCATGTTGCATGAGGGAATCCCAGGGGAAGGAACAGTGTGATCACAGCAGCCAGCTAAGGTGCTGAATGCATGAAGACCAGGTTCTGCAGCACTGCGCATGGCTGAAAGATAAAACGAACACCTTCCTCCTGTCCCCATGGAAGATCTGAGCACAAATTCCAAAAGGTCATGTTAAAGAAATTTGCACAGCTGAGATGAAATCATAGAACCTCTCAGCTCATCTGAACTGTTCAAAACTGAAGTTGGGGCAGAAAAGGCTAGAACCATAGAGACTTCCCACTCATATCTCTCTTCCCACGCTAGATAATGTGCTTAATTGTTGCCAGGTTGCCAGTTCTGTTACCCCCAGTGCTTCCGAGACCAGCAGAGGCCACACATCTTGCTTTCGTTCGGATCCTGAAGCTACCCACCCACAAATAAATACAAATCATGGACCTTTAGTGCTTAGGCTCTCTGCGGGATTAAATTCACCAAGCAAGCCCCATTGTTTCAAAAACAATTGGGAAAAGGAAAACTCATTTGTTGTACAATGTGCTATTTATATAAAGGATCCAATTTCTATTTTTCTAGGCCCTTCCCCCAAAGAAATCTATTGGACTGAAATTTTTTTAATATTTCCTTAAGCACTAGGAGTAGCCTCTGGAAATGCAAGCTCTCATTTAGGTTATGATCTTCATAATTCAAAAGACAAATTCTGGAGACAGCTTCAAGATATAATTGAAGGAAAATGAAAGGTTTTGTGATGAAAGATTAAGGAAACCCCAATTCATTTTTCTTTTCTGGAGACAATTGGCTTACGAGGTCTTCACTTTTCTGGAAGGTGTTTGTGTCTGATGCACCTTCTCTAATGAGGGTCAGACAAAAAGTTTTAGCTCCAGTGCAAGCATGCAAGTTAGACTCCCGAAAGAACTCATGGGTAGTCATGTACTGTAAAGATGGCTTTTGAAGTTTCTAGAAAGGGGTTACTGCTCTGAGACAGTTCTGAGTCTCTAGGGCAAGAGGCTGCTGAAGCAGCAAAATCATTGCTTTTCTGGGGTCACCAGCCGTAGGCAGCTCTCCACCGGTCTTTCACCCACACTCAGGCTGACGACTTGGGTTGACTTTGTTCCCAGAACTCTGCCCACAGAACAGACTGAACATGGGCAGTGGCAGAAGTCGTCTCCCCCTCTCCACCCCACTGAAGAAAGGCTGTTGCCATGGAGATCCCACCTCCACGGTCCATCGGTGGGGCCAATGCCAAAGGTGGTGGCGGCGGGGTGCGGGTAGACCCTGAACACCAGGCAGCGCCTGAACAGCTGCTTCCCTCAGAGAGACTCAGAAGTTGGCAGAAATTGCTGGAGACCTGACCTGATAAAAGGGGAGTATCCCTATAATCCAAAGGCCATTGGATTCTAGCAACTCATCATTTACATGGAACCTTTGAGGTTAGAATCAGGGGCGCATGTGAACGACTGGGGTTCTGTCATGTGAGAACATGCAGATGGCTTCAGAGCCTGGTCCCAATTTCCCCATTACATCTGGGGGTCATTCTTAGTAGAATGTGAAAAATGATGCAAATTCTCCCACCCTGCTAATGATGGGGAAGAATAGCGCAAATCAGATAAAAGCAACTGCTCATCAGAAAGTGAGGGAAGCAGCTGTGAGGAAATTAGCCGAGTGGGGAGGATCCAGCAGCACCCACTGACGGCCCTGCTTGGCTCCAAATGGGTGGCTGGGATTCTACCCACTGCCTGCCCTCCCTCTTGGGTTTGGGGTTTGCAGCTGGTCTGGTCGGCCACAGCTTATCCGGCCACCGGGGTCACAGAGATGCCCACATGTCTTTAATGGCCATTTGGAAAAGAAAACTCCCTTCTCTAGTTTGTGTGAGGAAAAGGAACAAGCCTTCCTCGCACTCTCTCTCCTCTCTCATCTTCTATTCTTCTTCTATTCTTCTTCTGGCCCTCTTCTTCTATGCAACTCTTAGCAGGAAACCAAGTAAAACCAAAACCAAGAGCTGAGTGTAGCTTTCTGCAAGTTTGACTGGCAGCACCTGTGAGGGGCTATGGCCTCTGGTCCCCTGGCTGGCTCCCAGTCTGGCCAGGAGACTACAGCTGGACCCATGTGAGGGTCCCTCAGGATTCTCAGCCCTGCTCAGAACCACAGGTTTTAAGCTTAGCTGGAATTTCCTGTTTAACTTTCATTCAGGTTGGCTTCCTCTGCAGCCACCCTGGTTCCCTGGGGTCCCACTATGGTCTCTAACCCTCCAGGTAGTTTGGCTCCCCTCAGCTAAATACCTGCTCTGTGCCAGGTATATACTATCATGGGTGCACAGGTGATAGAGCCTTGTCCTTAGAGAGTCAATGGCTTTCTAGAAGGAAGCAGACACATGAGCAGCTGCTCACAGTGCAGTGTGCTATCGACCATTCTGGAGTCTGCACTAAGAGCTCAGACTCAGTCGGCTGCAGTTCCTGGAGCTGAGGGTCTCGAGGGAATATAGGCTACCCTCGTTTGGGATGCCACAGGAAACTCAACAGTGCCACGGGGTATTTGAGGAGACTATGGTGAAACTCACTGTCTATTGGACATGCCATACATTTGGCATTTGTCCTAGCAGATACAATCTAGTCACCAATTCAACATCAGACTGTGTCACCTTCCCCCAAATGGCTTGTGTTTGTGAAGCTCAGGCTTCACAAACTGCTGTGGCAACTGCTGTGATGAAAATCAAGTGCCTAGTGAGGATCCATGGGAGAAGAAGTGTCCCACCTGGCCGAAGGTGTGAACAGCTGTGTGGTGCCCAACACACACACACACACAAACACACACACACACACACACGCACACACACACTCCCTCAACATGAAGTAGTTGTGGTTGAGAATGACATAAAAATATTTTTCTTTCCATTGTGTATATTTTTCACAGTCGTTAGAATAAATACTTCTGAAGTTGTCTGGATTTAAGTACTCCATAAACAACTGCTAGGTATTTTTGTTGGCCTACAAGCTGTATGTAAAATTTAATAAGACATCAGGAGCCATGAACTGAGGAAATTCCAGTATCTATCCTAGAAGAAATGACGCTTGACCTTAACCTTAAAAAGCTGCATAAGAGTGGGTTACAGGAAAGGGGAGGAGAAAAGAGCCTTGGAAGTGGAAAGCATGACCTCAAGTGGGCTTGCAAGAGAGCACCACACATGGAGGAAAATTAGTTTGGTGATGCTGGCGTGAAACTGGCCAAACTGTGAAAGGTAACAGTGAAGCAGAAAGGTGGGCAGTTCGCTAAGGGCTTGAAGGCATTTCAGAGAGCTGGGAGCCTCTTTCATCGAGCAGTGGGGAGCCATAAAGAGTGGGAAGCTGGGCAGAACTGAGCTGGTCACAGTGCTTCCCCACAGCTTCATGCTGATTCCTGTCTCTTTTGTAAGGCAGACATTTCTGTTGGGCTACCCACTGAGTCCTGCCTTCAGCACCTAACACTCTACGCCCCCAGGGCAGGAGGAAAGGCTGGTGCAAACCCCCAGGCTCTCCAGGGCAACTCATCTTTCCTGTGCCTTTGGAGGGGGCTATTGTATCACACCTCATTGAAACTCAGCTATCTAGAACTTGAAGTAAAAAGCAGCAGCTCCTCTAGTGGAGATGGAAATTCAGTCCCTCCCTACGGCGATCCTGTCCTGGGCTTTGGGTCACCCAGGGACAGCAGTGTCGCCTTGTGACCTGACCTGCTTTGCGCATTGGTGCTCCATGGCCAAGGGC